AATGATAACGTCAACTTTGTTTTGTTATCTTTCCAATTACTTTCCAGAATTATTGATGACGGTATTTCAATTACACATGTGTACACACGGAATTTCCAGTATTTTTTTATGTTTGTTGTATATAATTCAACAATCGAACAATTTAAATTGTAAAACTTAAAGTTCTCAAACACAACTTCGTTTACTTGAAGCAGCTTTTCATCAGTATTCTGTATCCTTTTTTCTATAGCTGTTGACTGATTTTGTCTGTTATCTATAATTTCCAAATGCTTTAATTTATTTAAATGTAATAAAATGCAAGGATCGATGGCTCGGGAGACATCAATCAGAAACTTGTTTAATGTTGATGAATGTTGCTGGAATTTCACCGGCAAATATATATGGGTATCTGATGAATTCGATGAAATGATTGGCAAAATTCTCTCTGACAGTGGCGATTCCAACCAATATGGAGTTATATATGACATTTCATCAATACCAGATACTTGAAAATAAAACTGCCAAGGTCCAGAAATTATTGTTGGTTTATTCGTAACAGAGTAAACAGATTTAAATCCTAAACCCTTATGGCCTATATGTTTTCCAATTTGTTTAGTACTAACGGCAAGACTCGATATAGCCAATACATCCTTTGGTCGCAGACCCTGTTCATTGTTTGATAACAGGATATATTCATTATCTAACTCAACTCGTAGTTTTGGAATAACGGAATGACTATAGTCATTATCTTCAGCATTCTAAAACCGAAAGGAAGAGTTTAATGCTATTTTCAATGGACGCGGAGGGGTGGCTAAAGTTTTTGTCTTTCGATGTACATGTCAAAGTGACGTCTAAATCAGATCTTGTTCAACGGCTATTGTAGCGCATTTCATAAGCTCTTTCTCAGAGTACAAGCAAAAAAGGGCTGTTATTACTTTAAAAACAGTTCCAACAGTACAAAAGTAAATGTGGGCTTGACATTACATTTTGTTTACAGAGATCAAAAAATCGAAGTTCTCTAAATTCAGAAAACTTAACAACGACATGATTTTTAGCTGAGCCCGTTTCTGCTAACCGTGTAGTGGAGATATATCAAAACGACAAAACCCTATCGGACACAATACTGCAATAAACTAGTAGTTACATATAACATAGGCATGGCTATAAATGATTGTTTTCTTTAAAAATTTGTTTCGATGTTGGGTCTAATACCATAACTGAAAAGTGCACTAAATGTGATAAAAGTTAAAACATACAATGAATTTTGATGAACCAGACATACTGACATTTGAGAATCACGAGAGGAAAAGGGAGAACACGGGTCATTATTCACAAAAGAACTTCGTGCTTGGACAATCAGTGGAATCTCCTTCGAAATGCTTATGTTCGAAACGAAGGGCGAAAGTGATTGGTCAGAAAAATACACCAGTAAGGAAAGACCACGAATCATTTATATTATATGTGTATATGGTCGATTTTTTCGTATTTTATGAATAATTTTGCCTGATGATGAAGCGAGAAGCTTCAACAAATGTTTTTAGGAATTGTATATTTACTGATACATGATTCACGTAGTTTCTGTTACTTATAACATTTGATGTTTAGCTTGAGTAACAGATGGGTTTGATAGTCTAAAATGTTAACGCGTTGTAATTCGTCAGTATTGATGGTCTTTGTTGATGTGAAAAAAGTGTATTTGTAGCTATCTTTAAAAATAATCAAATTCATTGATGGCCTACCGTGTTTCTAATATAAAGGCCCACGAGGGAACCGCCCAAACCGTCAAATCGCTTTTTGGATGAAACCTAGTGGGTTATAGGTTATCGGCTATGCTGATTCCGAATATAACAATCATTTTGGCCAATAGGTCTTCAGAGATTGGATTTCTGGAAACCCAGTTTTTCAGAAACTCCTAAAAATAACCAAAACCTTTGTTAATGAGGAAGGATTGTAGCCCCCAGATTTCTGATTAAAATGAGACCTCCCCGAGCTATGCACGGTCTTTCTTTGCAAAGTTGTAGAATTTATGAGAAAAGGCCTAAATTGATTTCTTCTGATTTCTGCAGCTTTGAGTTGACAATGAACATTGCAAATTGTGTAGAGCTGGGAGGGGTCTCATTTTAATCAGAAATCTGGGGGCTACAGTCCTGCCTCATTAACAAAGGTTTTGGTTATTTTTTAGGAGTTTTCTGAAAAACTGGGTTTCCAGAAATCCGGTCGCTGAAGACCTATCGGCCAAAATGATTGTTATATTCGGAATCAGCATAGTCGACAATCTGTAACCCACTAGATTTCACCCAAAAAGCGATTTCCCTCGCCAGATAGTTTTCAAACCATTTATAATTAAGAGAGAGTTTCAAGGGATATTCCGACCAGCGGATATCCCTGTATGTCGTTCGTTAGGTCGGTGTAGCTATGACACAACATAATTTGAATTGTTTTATATATAACTACCTTTTTCTGTAATTTCATAAACATATAACGTGTAAAGGCATTTTCGACTCTATTTCGATGAGGCGATAGATAAAAAAGCAATATTTTTGTATTTCAGAATGTATCGGTATTTTCCAGTAAATTTTATCTTTCTAGCCGTTTTCAGAATTTGAACTATTTTATAAGGTCATTTTTGTAGTAAAACTCATAATCGAAACTTCAAGATTATTAGCTATGCTCGGTTTAACTATTACAAAAAGCTCCAAAAACTGTAAACGCACGCCTCGTCAGTCTTGCCGCAAACTATTTTTCCAAATAATATTAACTGATCGTCTACAACATTCTCATGTATCATGAAAGAGAAAATGCCACTGATTCAATCTCTCGAAAGAAGACAGTTCGTATTCTCTGTATTTAGCCGATTACTGTCTTTCTTTAATCTATTTTATAGGTAACATTGTTAATGAGCGACAAGATTAATCAAGAAAAAGAAATATTTTGGATTAGAATATTAGAGGAAAAAGACAGTCGAACATTGTTTGCTTGATCTCAGTTTGGAACTTATAGGATGAGAGATCTAATCTCTTTGGCAGACTTGCTATTTACTTCTGTATCATGGAAAAGAAAAGAATTGTACCTCAAAACCTTATTATTTTCGGACATGTTGGCAGAACTATATTTTGATAAGTTCTGTTTTAAGCTTAGGGTTTACTTTATGCTTGTTTATGTTCCTAAATAAACTGAACTGAACTGAAAAATGTTCATTTTACTCGTCAATCTTTTTATGTATTTAAATGCTGGGCACGAGAAGCTTGCAAAAAGTCAGAACTCCAGTAAGTTTTACGGAAACCGTGAAAGGCTAGAAAGATAGAATTTAGTTGAAAATACTGATACATTGTGAAATATAGAAACATCCCAGATCCAGGGAAACGGCACCGTTAATGTGCCGTAAACGGACGGTTTTCAGAACCTAAAACTCGTAACGTTTTAGAGTCTTAAATAGGTCGTTTTTCTACCGTTTTCTTACCATTTACTGACCGTTTACTGCCCGGTCTTTTGTCGTTTTGAGAACGTTAACGGACTATTATACTAAAAAAATTACAAAAAATTTTCTGACTTATCTGTCGAATGTAAGATGCTCGTAGGTCAAACTCAAGAGTGAAATTTCTTTTTGACTTTATTATACATATTCTGAATCGCCAGGTCGAGCTGATCACGAATATCAACTTTTTTTTTAGTTCGAAAAAAAATGAAATCTTGATGGAGAAAAATGCGAAATACTGAGACGAGGTCGAAAAAGCTACAAATTGTTCTTTTTCAGAAAATGGTTCACAATTTCTTCCCTTTACGTTTTTACTTATTCTCATTAATATTTTCAAATTCTACGTTGAAAACTGATTCTCTTTCAATGACGTTTGGTCAAAACTGAAATTTTGGCTAAGCCCAGCGGTCGATACCCCCAGCTTGCAAGCCTATCTAGTTTTTTGGGTTAAGGGATAGGTCCCCCATTCACATACCGTTAGATAGCCCAAAAAGTTTTAAAAGTACGGAGAGATTTTTTCGAAAATGTTTTTTCCTTACCGGAAAAAACGCCTTTTGCCCAAACGGAAGGAAAAACGGCCAGGCCGTCTTTAGCTGACTTATTCATTATCGGCTCAAAAATGATAAAAATAAATCGCTATAGGTTCTTAGGCGTCAGGAAATTCGATAGACGTGCTTCCGGAAACGACGGAGGGCTTTCAGAGGGTTTTCGAGAGGTTTCGAAAAGGTTTTGGACTTTCTTTTGTGACATTAAAGAATAAGCCTCTCTATAAATGGGATTTCATATTTATTTATTTTCGTATATTTGTGTTCCAATTGAATTTATAGTTTTTCTTTGGTAGAACCTGTCATTTTAGATTTTGGTTATTATTTCTTATGCCTCCGCCGTCAAAACGTTCTGCTCGGTGTCGGAATTTGAATATTAAGCGCTATGCAAGCGATAACAGAAACGAAAGTGGAATTGACCTATTTGATGAAGATTCATATATGGAAGAAGGAGCTGAGGCTGACAAACAGCCGTCAAATTTCACTGATAAAATTGGTCTAGATGACCTAGCAGCTTTATTTGATTTGTGCAAATCAAGTTCCTCGACGAAGTATCTCAGTGTGTTGATGTATATGACGCTTAGACACGTTGGATTGACTTGGGATGCTTGCAATGTTATTTTAAGGAAAATGGGTGGATTCAATTGTGAAACATCGCACAAATGGGCTGATCTGTTCATATCTGGTGATTTTGAAGAGTTTCCAAGGGAAAAACGCGGCGGTAAACGTAGGATTGAGTTTTGGGATTATTTTCCGGATATTGAGTTATCGGCTAAACAGTTTACTCTCGATCGTTGCTCTCAGAAATCAGCTGATTTTACGGCCGTTCATTTAGAGATCTGCAATATTTGCTTATTTTGTATGCTCTTAGAGCCTTTTTTCATTTTTTTTACTGTGATTGACGAAGTACTGACGGCTTTGAACATGTAGAATTAAAATCTAACCGTGAAAGCTATCATTTCAATTTAGAGTGTCACAAAACGCTTTGCTGCTGGTTTTTGTGCCATACTCTCACAAAAGAAAGTCCAAAACCCTTTCGAAACCTCTCGAAAACCCTCTGGAAGTCCTCCGTCGCTTCCGTTCAATAGCAGGTTTTTCCGATCAAAAACAAGAAATAGCAAAAAAAGAACGAAAATTTTAAAGAGTGTTTCTAATTACCCCGAAGTACTCGGTGTGTCATGAAACATTGAAAAATCATTCTGAAATTCCTCTAGAATAAAGTACTGAAAAACAGCCTAAAAACGGTCCGTTAACTGACGGTTAACGGCCTGTTTACGGTTTGAAGCATCTAGTATGTATGTGTCATGAAACATTCAAAAATTATTTTAAAATCAGTCTAGCTTTATGCGCTCTAGTTTTATGCGCAGCGTGTATCACTTTAAACAGTTTTTAGCGACTACTTTGTAAAATAATAATTTTCTTACCTGAATTAATTCGTGCAAGAAATGCGCTGACGAACTATAGAGATCAGAGCCCAAATGTTTCAACGAGCCGCAGAGGGATTTTCTAAGATCATCATCAATAAATGCAGTTCGTCTACGATTAATTCCAATAATAAACGTTTTTGCTTGAATAGCAGTTATAGTACGAGAATTCAAATCTAAAATTTGATTATTTGAAGTTTCATTGTGGTCCATTATCGTTTTATCTTTACTACTATCGTTATTTGCTTTTGTACTAGATGATAGTTGGTACTGATTATTATTCGATAACTGAACGAATGCGTTTTGCATTTGACCAGTTTCTCTGGCTAAATTGAGATTTTGATTTCTCAACTGATCCCGTTCTGTTTGAGTACGCTCAAGTTGAGCATTCATTTGTATCATTTGTTCGTTTAACTCATCATATTTTAGCTTTAAGCTCTCGTGATCGTGATGTAGCTGCATACCGTTTAATTTTTGCCATTCATCATTGTATTTTGACAAAAACTGCACGCGTTGTTTCTCTTCTTTTTCTTTATGCGTAATTCTGCTTGTCCGCACCAAACTATTTGCCTTCTTGTATACATTGTAAAAGGAGGATATCAAATCTTTTGAAAAATTTGCTGATAACTCAGTGTCTAGTTCTTGTACAATATTCTCATTAGCAGTAATGGCAGTGTCAATTTGATTTTTATCGTCTGATTCAGATTCAGATTCAGATTCAGATTCAGATTCTGAAATATCCTCCTCACACATCATGTTTTTGTAGATGAAAGTCGTATAACGTATATAGAAATCCATATAACGTTCTAGTGTTTCCTTTTTGTTTGGATAGTGAATAATTATTGACTGTATCATTCTCGGTATTGTTGCTAACAGCATTCGTTTATTTTCTTTGTTAAAAAAGAAAGTAACAAGTGTTGGCAGGCAGCATTGCAACATTTGACTGAATATAGAACATATTTCACTTACCACTACACAACAACAATACCGAGTGTTGGAAATAAATGTAATTTTACCGTACAGCATATCATAAATAATTGAGATAACCGACAATAAAGATTCAACATCATCGATAGTAACATGCGAACAATTTTCCACGGAACCTCGTAATAAATAGAATAAACAACGAAGATCTCTTCTAATAGTTAATATATCACAATGTTCCATACACAATTTTTCAATTTCAGTTGGTGTTCGAAAGTTATCAAGCGCTGAAACTGTCGACAGAAGAGGATTCGTTATGGTTGTCGGTGATGTAGTAGTTGCTAATGTCAGACATGTTCTAAATTAATAGTAACTGAAGATAAAAACGGATAATATTTCACCCTCACTCCATGTGAGAATAAAGAAAATATGCTAAAATGTTAACTATACAAAAAGCTGACCGAATAAAATTTGATCCATTAATGGTCATGTATATGCTTTGCTCTCCTTTTTTCTCTTTGAAACTCGAAAAACTGATTTTCTCTTCAAACATACCCAGCATTTTTAGAAGCAGAAACTGTATTTTCTGGTGAGGATGTGGTATCTGGTTGACGTTGCTTTTCTAATAATCGAAATGGCGAGAATAACCATTTAAATGCGTCTAACAATTTTCTTGTCGCAAAACGGTCATATGTTGTAAACATAATAGAATATTTCATTTGCATTTGATCAGCGTTCAGTATGCAAGTAAATAATCGAATCCCAGCAATGACTAATACATACTGCTTTTGACTAATTAAAAAGAGCGTTAAAGTAAAAATTTCTGGTGTATGATTAAATAATGCATGACGAAACCATCGATGATCAGCCAGACGGCAGATTGCACAAACAAGAGAAAATCCGAGTACCAAATCTTCATCATTCGGAGTAACGAGGTATTTTTGAAGGAAATCTAATGTATACTTGACTGCATGTGAAGCGATTGTATTTGTCCTTTCGCCGTCTTTTTTATCAAATCCTTCTAATATCATGCGCTTATAAACACTCCGTTCTTCAGTATTCATCGAAAATAATTCATCAAGAATAATCTGTAGCAGATATATTGCTGATAAACGTCTCTGTGGCGGCAAAATATTGTTTGACAATTTTAGATCTTTTAAAATTGGTGACAATCTGGTTTTTGCGGTTATTTCATACTTTTTCCTCAACGTGAAGCGCATTTTTTGCAGATGAGACATAGTACGATAGGGACTCTGATTTGATTTTGGTAATAGATTTAAACAATTCTGTCGAATTTTCGAATTAGAGCCACCGAATTTTGACATAACTGATATATTGTTATTTACTAGACCATTGAGAAGAACTTTGAAAGATAATGTGGACGCTCCATTATCGTTGAGTGAAAGCAGATTTTCTTCAATTAACAACGTACGTTCTTGTAAAACGGGCGATTTTGATAGATAATTTAAAAATGCATTTATTCTTCGATGATAAGAGAACAATCATTTATGTCCATACAACGATCTGTCAAACCGAAAATACATAGTAATTTTTGCGTACTCTAATCCCTACTTTTGTTGTCACGGTCTTACTTTAATATCATTATTCTGGATATAATACTGATACATAAAGCTGCAGATTTGTACTTGTTTTCACAATAGTTTCAAATAGTTGTTGTACATTTGCAGTCAAGCAAAAGACGTGAAAATTAAAATCTAGCAATGAATTGTAGTCAGTGTCTTTTTTATTTCTAGATGATTGTTGATTCGGTTGTTTATTAGTGACATATGATTTTAATTCAACAAATAGCTCAATAACTGGTAGTTCAAGATAGGAAGAATCACTCATTATGATCCAACTGGATGATTCACACCAGCTTTCAGCTAAGATAACATGTGAGAGAAAACAATACACATAGATCATTTAGAACAGACTGAGGTATGATGCGACGAACTATTCGGAATATCATTTAGCGGTAAATAATAACATACCAGATGGTTTGTTGTATGTTTAGTATTTTATTAGGCTTATTCTAGTAACTGACAGCTCAGGTACCGTGTTAACTAAGATTCAACTACTATCGAAACGGAAAGGTCGTGCCGGTTGCCGTTTTTCAAATAACTTTTTAACGAAAGGTCTTAGCGGCCTGCGGTTTTCACCATCGTATAGAGGACACTTAAAGCCATATTTTTATAAGCA